ATTCCTGCTTCCCTGCCTTTTGCTCACTCTATTCGAGCCGTAGTGGCCCCTCTGCAATTCCTTGAACCAGTTAGAAGCCAGACATAGCCTTATTTCAGGGCTTCATGTTTTTTGTTCAATCTTAAACACCTTTACCCTGACAGTCATGTGACTATCTTTCAGGTCTTTATTAAAATGTCACTTTCTCAAACAAACTTCCCATAACTAACCAATAAAATAGCTGCTCCTCTCATCACTTCCTAACTCCCTGAACCGGCTTTATTTTTTCCTCCTTTTGACATCAATTATGTGCTTTAATTAAGCATAACTACCTCTTCTAGATTTCAAGCTCTAGGAAGGCAGAATTTTCTGTTTAGTTTACTGAAGAGAAATCAAAGTCAGACTTGCGGTACTGAAATAATAATGAAAAGAAAGAAATGAAGAATGAAGTTTTAGTGATTAATCTGTATCTGTCTGATTCATATGAATAGATGAAGACTAATCCCAAAAAGGAAGCACATCATAAAAAGGAGACTATTCCTAAGAAGGATTTTTTTGTTTGTTTGTTTGTGCAAAAGGGCATATGCATTTGCCAGAGAGAGACAGGGAGACAGAGTGAGATAGGAGAAAGCACCTCCCAAGGGGAAGGGTCACACTACAATCCCTTCTCCTCTCTCTCTCCCTCCTTTTGGGATTTTGAGAACGTGAGCACACACTGCTGGCATGTTTCTCAAGCTACCTTTGTCTGGTATTCGACTGCCTTGTCTCACTCTCCCATTACAATATCCCTGCTATATACAGTTGTCTTCCAGAAGAGTTACTGAAAAAGTGATACATACAAGTAAAGGGAGAGAGGCCACAAGTTCCAACCATCAGCTCATAAAGTTTTTGGTAATAGGGAGCATAAACTCCACTCAGGGTTGGATAAGGAAGGGTCTCCGGCAGATCCACAAGTGTAGGTGAGTCTCCAAGGAATGCAGTTTCAGGAAAGCAGTTCTGGTACACAGGGATAATTATCAGCTGATGCGGCACAGCAGTCATCTTGTAGTTACCAGGAATGGTGTTGTGGGGGTCTGCAGTGTGAGTTGTCCTTGGGTATCTGGCTTCCTTAAAAATGGCAGAGTAGTTCTTGTTTTCCCCTGAGGTAATGCAGGGCTGGTAACTATCATCTTCTTAAGTTGCAAGTTCTTCAACCTTGTTTTCGGCCTCCGGGCCATCCCGGGCCAGAGAGGCAGCGAGGGGCAGGGAGGCCCCCCGGCCGCGTGGCGCGCCCCCCGGAGTGGAGGGGCACCGGCCAGGCCGCTCCCAGCGCGCGGCTGCGCTGGGGGGGGGGGGGTGAGGCCCCCCGGCC